GGGTGGGGCTTGGCTCCAAGGGCGGGACCTCAGGTGGAAGGGGTGGAGGTTGACTCCAAGGGCGGGGCCTCAGGTGGAAGGGGCGGGGCTGGAGCTTGCCTTTCCCAACTGGGCCTTCACCCCCCGCCCGTGTTAGCAGCCAGCCCTCCTCACCCCCCGGCTGTGCCCCTCCTGCCCGGCCGGCACTTTACCTTTAGACAGGAAGAACTGGCTCAGCTTCTGCATCACCTGGGTCTTGAAGATTTCATCCAGGAAAGCGTCCACTTCCTGCTCCTCGGAGGCAGTCACCTGCTCCGCCGTGCCCGTCATGCGCTCGTAGTTATCCAGCAGGGCCACGAGCCGGGCGAAGGTGGGCTTGGAGAAGAGGGCCTCCTCATCCACGTAGCGCGGGGTTGTTCACAGACCCAGCTGGAGAATCGGGGCTGGCAGCCCTTTCTGTCTGTGTCTCGGCCCCATCGCTGTAGTACCAGAGCGCCACACCCCGCGAGCTGCGGCAGAGAGACTAGGTGACTTGCCCCAGGGCACACCAAGAAGGCTTTGGCAGAGCCAGGACTACGACGCCAGTCACCCAAGGCCTTGCCTTGTGTCCTAACCACTGGGCCATCCTTCCTCTCTAACGGGTGACTAACTTGTCTCGCTCCAATTGTTACAAATGGGCTCTGTGGATGGAGACCCCCTGCCAGAGAGGCAGAGCAAGGCCTAGGGTTCCTTCACCCCCACGTATCACCCTCCCCCCCGACAAAGCCCCATTTGCTGGGCCTGCGCCATTCCTCTGTCTGCCCGGCAGGAATTTCTACATGGCGGCAGAAGGTTCTGCCCAGGCAAGGATCTAGGGTAACCCCCCCCCAGCGTCTGTGCATCTCCGGCCCACCCCAGCCCACCCCCTCACTTCTGGCTGGCGTAGTCTTGGCCTGCTCCGCTCTGCTCGGAGGAGATCTTGTGCTGCAGGTTGAGGACGATCTCCCGGCTGGTGGCCTTGTTCACGTCGGCAGAGTACAGCGCCTCCGAGAGGCTCCTGATCTCCCCATCGGAGACAGCGTAGACGGGGGAGACCTCCCGCAGCTCCCCCTCCCCTGCAACGGCAAACGGAGACGGGCCAGAGGTCACTCCCCGGGGGACAGCTGGACGGTGACGGGCTAGGAACAGGGAGAGCCCCGGCCTCGCTTATTCAGCCAGAGCGGGCGCTGGCGCGTTGGACGGCTGCTTTATTCAGTCCATCCTGCTAATGTGCCAGCTGGTCCAGGGGTAGGGGGCTGCCAGCCCAGCCCTGCCTGGCTCAGCCTGACTCCTAGACCCGAGGGAGGATCTAGACCTGCTGCTTCCTGGCCCCAGAGTAGTCACTAACCCATCACTGAAGCCGTGGAATAGGTACCCCCCCATGCAGGCCAGAATCAGCTTCCCCCTTCGTTCCTAATACTCAGTTGTCTCCACACCCTCTGAGCAGGGCCGGCGCATGTGCTGCGCTGGCCATCGGGACGGAGCTCCGGCTGCCCTCGGCTTCAGACTCCTGGTTTCCTGTCCCACCTGCCCAGCGCCGCTCTGTCTCCAAGCCGCCTTCTCCCCTGGCGGCTGTCTCATGCAACCTGCTGATGCTGCAGCGTGTCTGCACGTTCCCCGGGTTTTCCGTTCCGGAGGCAGACGGAGCCTGTCGAATCACTCCCACCGCTCTGGAGGGGGTCTTCATCTTTCCCTCTCCCAGCAGCTCAGAGGGATCGATCCACACAGGCCTGCTTTACGCACGGGACTGGGAACTAGGACTCTTGGGTTCTGTCCCCAGCTCCGCCAGGGCTGGCCCTACCATGAGGCGCACTGAGGCAGCCGTCTCCGGTCCCCGACTGTGGGGGGAGCCACTAGGACCCAGAGTGTAGAACATTGCGTCTGCTGCTGGTGCCTGTGTATTCTCGATGCACAGAGATGGGGGATGCTGTGCAGGAGGAAGGAGGGCACCAGAGACCTTTCAAAGTTTTGGCCCAAGGGAGGGGGCATGGGGGCGTCATTTGAGCTCCCCGCCTCAGGTGCCAAAATGTTGTGGGCACTGTGGGGGGAGCCACTAGGACCCAGAGTGTAGAACATTGCGTCTGCTGCTGGTGCCTGTGTATTCTCGATGCACAGAGATGGGGGATGCTGTGCAGGAGGAAGGAGGGCACCAGAGACCTTTCAAAGTTTTGGCCCAAGGGAGGGGGCATGGGGGCGTCATTTGAGCTCCCCGCCTCAGGTGCCAAAATGTTGTGGGCTGGCCCTGCGCTCCGCCACTGACTCAGTAGGCCAGCGGGTTTCAAACGATGGGGGCACGACCAGGCATGGGGCCATGGGAGGGCAGGCCCTGGGTCGTGTGGCTGCGGGGGGATCAGGTGAGCAGCAGGGGGGGG